CTCACTTATTTGTGGGATATAAAAATCAAAACAATTGAATTCATGGAAATAGAAGGATAGTTACCAGAGACTGGGAAGGGTAGTGGGGGACCAGAGAAAGGTGGGGATGGTTAATAGGTACTAAAATAAATCATTAGAAAGAATAAATAAAATGTATTATTTGATTGTACAACACAGCAACTATAGTCAATAATTGTACATTTTACAGCAACTTAAAGAGTGTAAATGTATTGCTGTAACGCAAAGGATAAATGCTTGAGCAGATGGATACCCCATTCTCCGTGATGTGATTATTTCACATTGCATGCCTATATCAGAACATCACATGCACCCCATAAATATATACCACCTATGCATGTACCCACAAAAATTAAAAATTAAAATGTTGTAAAAGAATATTTGCAATTTTTTTTTTGAGACGGAGTTTCACTCTTGTTACCCAGGCTGGAGTGCAATGGTGCGATCTTGGCTCACGGCAACCTCCGCCTCCTGGGTTCAGGCAATTCTCCTGCCTCAGCCTCCTGAGTAGCTGGGATTACAGGCACTCGCCACCGTGCCCAGCTAATTTTTTTTTTTTTTTTTGTATTTTTAGTAGAGGCAGGGTTTCACCATGTTGACCAGGAGGGTCTCGATCTCTTGACCTCGTGATCCACCCGCCTCGGCCTCCCAAAGTGCTGGGATTACAGGCATGAGCCACCGCGCCCAGCCTGCAATTATTTTTTAAAACACTTTTATAATAGTTTAAGCATCTCTAATCTGAACATCCAAAATCCAAACTGGTCCATAATCTGAAACTTTCTCAGTATCAACATGACACTCAAAGGAAATGCAAATATTCTAAAATGTTCAAAAATATAAAACCTGAAAGTATTTCAATAAAGGATACTCAACCTGTATTTGCTTTAAAGTCTTTATCGATTCCTACGATTCCTACATGGGTGTTAGCTCAGTGTTAGCATCTGCTAATGTCCTTTACTATGCAAGTTGGAATTTTCTCAGTTCTTCACATACCACATAATTCTGAATTGTATTCTCAGTATTTGGAACATTATGTTGAGACATTGGGTTATGTTTACATTCTATGGAGAATGCTGTTATTTTTGTTTTAGCACACAATCCATCTAGTTAGGTTCAGGTTCAATTTTCCACAGCCTTCTGTAGGTAGCGGTTCTAATTTTTCAGAGCCTTTGTAGTGTTCTTTGGATATTACCTGCATGTGCACCACCTAGTGGTCAGTATAGGATCTATGTAGTGGTCTATTGGTTAATTCTGTTCTCAATTATGCTAATTAGGATCAGATCCATGCAAACATCACTCAAGTATTAGCCAAGAAATTTGTAAACAACTTTATAAAATTGCTTTATCATGTTCCTGCCTTTATGTGATTTCTTGGATCCCTCTTGTTTCTCCTACCAGAAACATGAGGCTCTAGCTACTACTCTCTTGTGTTCCTCCATGATTTGGCCTGTGGATACACCAAATGTTCAATAACCAAGCTTTCATTCTTATATCAGAATAATCGTCATCATTATCATTATTTGCAGTAACAGCAACATCAAGAGTTCTTCTAATAAATAGTTAACAATGAAAACAATAATAATGATGAACTGTTTGGGAGGAAGTATGACAGCAATTGTTAAGACTGGTATCCCAGAGCAAGATATGTCAGGTCTAGCACTGCGTGATACCTGAACAAAACGGCTGGCTCCCAACCTATTCATCCTAAAGTGAAGCCTCGTGTTAACAAGCCATGGCCACAAATACTGAGCTACCACTTCACTTTTTGTTGCCTTATTCTTAAAAAGGGGTAGACAAGAAAGATTATAAAAATGAAACAGAAAAAAAATTATCAGAGGAAATGGATAACTGTAAAAAGCAAAAGAAAATCTAACATTTCAATATCATATCAATAAAATAAGAAAGGATGCTGTGAAATTGAAGTAATACCCAATGTAGAAAAAAACTCTTGAAATTTAAAAATATAAAATGGCCAAAATAAAAGTTAGAAGATAAAATTTTTTAAATCCAAAACTAGAATAAATAAGAGACAGAAAATACAAGTAAAAAGAGTCATTAAGGTCAATTTAGGACCTTTAACTTGTGACTGATAGGAGTTCTAGAAAGAGAAAGGGAAAAAACAGGGAGGAATTACCAAAGAATAGGGAAAAGGATATGATATCTCTGTCCTACTAACTTAGGAGGAAAAGGAAGGAGAGAGCTATAAGAGAGGAAGCTTCAAGTCCATGAGACAGGGTTATATTGGATATATTAAGGAGAACACTGACGATGAGAACAAGGACTCCCACACTGATTACCATAACCAGCCTGAGGCCAGAAACCCTCCTTTCCCTACAGTGTAGGTTTATTTAAGTCATCTGATGCCGTCTTAGAGTGAACATGGGCAGTAAGGGAAGTAATTGAAGGAATGAGAGGTCATTCCCCAATGACCAATATAAACTTAAAGAAACTTTAAATTATGGAACTGGACTGAGTTACAAGTAAGATTTCCTCTGTCCAGGAACTGGGTAGGTTGTGGATTGTTTTATCTGGGGATACAAAACAAACAAACAAAATAATAGAGAATTGCCGAGAGCTGAAAGATAAGTACTGTCTGACTGAAAGTGTACTGTAGTACTTTGAATAAATAAACAGTACTTATTTATTTGAATAAAATATCTATATTCTAATTATATCATAGAAAATTTCACATCAAGAATAAAGAGAAACACCTAAAAGCTGTCAGAGAGAGAGGGGAAAAAATGCCCTACAAAGGAAGAATTGGACTGGCAAAAAAAAAAAAAAAAACTTATCAGTAACACTGGATGTTTAAAAACAATGAAACAATGCCTTCAGAGTTATGAGGGGGAAATTTCCACTTTGAATTCTTTATCTAGTTAGGTTATAAATTAAGAATAAAAACATTTCAGACAAGCAGAACTCAGAAAGTTGAACTCAAATACACACCATTCTTAGGAAGTTACTAGGGAGTCTTTTCCAGCAAAATCACACAGTGAACCAAGAAAAATAACATGAAATCCAGACCACAATGGATTCAACCCAGGAGAATAATGAAGGAAAATCCAGGATGTCAGCTGTGCAGTAGGCCTTCAGAATATATCAGGTTAGGGTAAGAGGACAGTGGGTTTCAAGGGAGCAATCCTAGGAAAAGCAAGGATTCTAAATATTTTTATATTACTTCTGAAGATGTAGAGGTCTGAGAGACGATAAAGGCAGAAAAACTAAGGGGAAAAAGCCACTCAAAACCCCATGTAAAATGAAAAAGTATATAAGAAAGGAAGTGGAATAATAGTACACTACACTGCTTAGTTGTACAGGGAATATTTACATAACAATAACAATATTAACACTTTATTTTCTACTCTTAGAATCAACCATAGACAAAGCACAGAAAATGCACTTATGATTACAACACAGAACATAGATGCTTACAACTGTGAAAATATAAATGCTAGGGTAAAACTACAAGTAATAGCAGGGAGCCCCAAAAGATATTGTCTACTGTCAACTGTTAATAGAATAAAGAAAGGGGCAAACTTTAAGATTAGAAAAGTAACCAACAGAAGAACAAAAAATAGAATAAGAATAGAAAATATCCAAAATTGGTAAATCAAGAAAGAATAGCATAAGTATATTATTTAGAGATATCAAAGTAAACAAAAGAACTAAAAGGAAAATTAGGAGAAAGAAGTGGTCCCATTTGAGGGGTGAAACTATTTATTCTAAGATCTTCTGTACATTCCATATTTGTATGCATATGCATGTATTAGTTGTATGAAAAACAACAGGAATGTCTCCACATTCTCTACTCTCCCACACTCACATCCTCTCTGCTGAGGTGGCTGATGTGTTTCCTTCCAGATATTTGTGTGCATTTACAAGCAAATGTGCAGGTGTGTATATCTATTTCTCTTCCACATCTTTACACAAATGATAGCACACTATACAAACTGTTCTGCATTTTCCACTTAACAAAATATCTTGGAGATATTTGTGTATTACTACCAAGCTTCCTCACAGCTTTTTTTTAATGGCTGCATTTTATGCCATTATACGAATGTATTATAATTTATTTAATCAATTCTGTGCCGATGAGCATCTGTTTTTTCCCAATTGTTTGATATTTCAAACAATACTATAATAATAAATTGATAAGTACTATAATAATAAATTTATAAGTATTACAAGAGAAAAGGTAATACAGTATTTGCTTTTATATCTCAATTAGACAATGAATGAATGTGGCTTTCATCTCTGCATCCTCAGTGCCTACCATGAGGATTGGCACATAGTAGGTACTCAACCTGTAAGCCCAGTACTTTGGGAGGCCGAAGTGGGTGGATCACCTGAGGTCAGGAGTTCTTGACTAGCCTGGCCAACGTCGCAAAACCCTGTCTCTACTAAAAATACAAAAATTAGCCATGCATAGTGGCATGTGCCTGCAGTTTCAGCTACTCAGGAGGCTGAGGCAGGGGAACTGCTTGAACCCAGGAGGTAGAGGTTATACTGAGCCGAGATCACACCACTGCACTGCAGGCTGGGTGACAGAGTGAGACTCTGTCTCAAAAAAAAAAAAAGATTTGCTAATTTAGATCCAATTGAATTTCAATAAGGAAATGGATCTATATAAACATTTAAATGAGATACTCTAATTCTGAAATCAAATTTATGACACAGCAAGACAAGAATCTATACACATCTAATACTCTGCATGTTCAGTCTTTGTTTTATGATTCACCCATATCCAACCTGCTAAATGTCAAGCAGGACTGTGGTGATGTAATTACAGTGAAGAGACTGCTCATATGACCCTAGCTTCCTAGCTAGCCCACATCCAACCTGCTAAAGAGATTCTAACTCATCATAGAGCTGCAAATCAGTATAAATAGCAATATACAGTTCTTAGTGTCTTACCAGTGAAAGAAATAAAATGAACAAAACAATAAATTCCCTGGATTGGAATAAGTCTCTCTTATACTTACTCTGAACTCTTTTGGGCCTGTATGGATTGGAAGCAAGTGTAGAGTACCCGGCCAGTCTATCAAAGGAAAAAATAAAGAAAGAAATGTCACACAAAGAAAATTAATACTGAGAAAGACCCCAAAGGTCCCTGTAGAAGCAGAAGGTTAAAAGAGATTCCAAAGATGTACTTTGCCATAAATCAAAATCTACAAAAAGGATCATTCACTCGGTCAACATAAGATGGTCGCAACCAAACATCTGCTCGTGTAACCAACACAAGAACCAGGATCCCAAGAACCTGAACATTCAAACTGCTATCCTGAAAGCTGACAAACGTATTCAACAACTACTTATGGTGACAATAAATAAATAAATGTATGATGACAAAGTTGAAAGCATTTCAAATGATGTATAAAGCTCAAGGTACTGAACCTTAATGTTTCTGGAAAAGTGATTTTATGGAAAATGTTCATTATAACACAGATTCTAAGAATATAGCTAGTGCACTAAATAAGACACTGCTGGTATTGTTGGCAGAAATCATACCTACAATGTTAAGTAGCAACTTTTGTTTGAACTGACAGACATCATAACTTCTTGACATGAACATAAAATTCAAATAGAGAATGGCAAGACTGGCCACTGATCAAACTGCTTAACCTCTCTCAGCTTCAGTTTGTTCATCCATAAAATGGGAATAATAATCCTGCACTTTTGTCAGGGTTACAGCATATTTATGTAAAGCACCTAATAACTACATGCCATACAGTAGGTGATAAATGGTAGTTGTTACTATCACTAGCCATCAAACTATATACAGCATCCAACCACTTCTCATTATCTTCACTCTTACCACCATGACCACACCTCCATCATCTCTTGTCTAGATTACAGCAGTATCTTCCTAACAGGTTTCACTGATGCCATGGATTCCACCCCCACCCTCTGCCTACTGTTCAGTCCAAACAGAAGCCAGAGAATCCCATTAAAACACAAACTCATCCTCCAGTGACCCCAAGTCAGAGTCAAAGCCAAGGTCTGACGAGATCTGGACCTTGTTTAGGACAACTAAATGAGTTATCATTCAAACTGGGACACCTCCAAGAGGGCAAAACTGGGATTGACAGAGTCAAACTGGGATGTATGGTCATGGTCTTCCTCACTCTGCTGCAGCCACACCAACTTCCCTGATGTTCCCTCAACATGCCACACTCACCTTAGGGTCTTTGCACTGGCTATTTCCCCAAGAAATCCATAAGACTTGTTCCCTCACCTTCTTCAGGTCCTGACTCAATGACCCTTTTCATTGAAACCTTTCCTGGCCATCCTATTAAAATTGCAAAGAGATTTTTCTCTACTCTGTGTGTACACACAAACACACAGAGCACACATACACACACAAACAAAATACCTTTGTATTTTTATCTTCTATAAAACAGGAAAAAATAAGTCCTACAAAGCCTTGATCCATCATCTGGTACATGGCTTGTGTGCGAACATCTGAAAATAAATGAAAATTTTTAAAAATCTTCTGTCAATGGACTATATCTTATAGACTTGAAGATTTAAAGATAACAGTGACATACAATCTCCCTAGGCAAAACGAAATATATCCTAACGACAATGGTCAAAGTATAATGTTTTGCTAGGTTAGGATAATACTATGAAAAGTCTGCCATTAAATAGTAAAACTTATTAATAACTCTAGCCTGCCTAGCCCAAGAGTACCTCTGCTATGAAATGTGGTATAGAAAGAGAAATTGAAAATTTCAGTTACCCCAGAACTTGGTAATATCCTCCATGGAGACTCAAAGAAAAGCTTTGGAAGGAGAAAAAAAATATTTCCTAGAAAAAGTCTTTTGATGGACAGCTTCTAGGAAAGTGAATATATTTATTAGGGTTGCTACTAAAGAACAGAAGTGTGAAATTATTATGGAGGAAATCTTACAGGAAGCCATTGTATAGAAGTGATTGTGATATAAATTCAACATTCCAGAGAGTAGAAACCATCCTATGTTGTTACTTGATTTTTTTTTATCCATAGGATTCTGCTTGAACTTTTGAAAAGAGATCATAAACAGACACCAAATAACAACATTAGAAAGGATTAAAATATAAATGCCGAAAACTAAACAGAGACTAAATTTAGTCTTCAGATCATTGTTTATAAAGGATACAGAAGCTCAGGTGTCACAATGAAACACTGCAAATTACAGTTTGGTGCAATGGCTTACATTCACTTAGTCAACATTCTGTGCATGTATACCTTTTTCAAGTGGATTCTGACTTCTCCCCAACATCTTTCTAAATAAAGACTGAGACCAAACAGTACCCGGCAATGGGTATGAAGGAAATATTGGCTGAAAATATTGCTAAAAATATAGAGCACTATAAAAATGGTCTCTGTACTGCTATAAGACCTTGGTAAAATTCTTGGTACTGTTAAGCCTATTTCCTCGTCAGTTAAATGAGGACAAACATCATCCTTTCTCTCATAGGGTTTTTGTAATTTTAAAATTGCAAACTTTTTAACACACATAAAAGGCACTTCATAAGCATTACTTCCATTCCATTTTATCTGCAACCACTGGAAAACAGCTACTATCCCCATCATGTCACCCAAAGTGCTTTTGTCAAGGTCACCAGTGATTTATTCTTGGTCTTCAATTTACCTGGTCTCAGCTGACCCCTTGGAACACTGTTTTCACTTTGCCTCCTGTCTCCTTTGCTGGATGCCTCCCATCTTCCCTCTCTCCAAATACTGGCATGGCCCAGGCTCAGTGTTCAGTCTTTTTATCTGTCTACCCTCACTCCCTGGGGAATTTCATCTAGTTTTGTGGCTTCAAATCTACACTAGCCACTCCCAACCCTGTGCAACAAACTCTAGTCCCAGACTTCTACTCCGAATGTCAGAATCATATTATCTACCTCACATTTCAACTTGGTTGTATTAGAACAATGCTATTAAGAATATGTTTCACGTGAGCTCAGTACCTTTACCCTGATACCTGCAAAAGCGAGCCAGCCCTGCCCATCCACTGGCTACCAAGAGTCCCTGACGTTGGGCCCGTAGAGGCTCAGACTGACCTCGGTCACCCCCGACCAGGGAGACCCTCATGTCTGTGGGAAGGGGTACTCTTCTTGCCGGCGAAGCTTCTGCAGGTGGTATCATTCCGGCACCTCGTACTAATGAATGTACCACCTCTGAGTATTGGCTACGCCTTGGGAGACCACCAGAGCTCAGAGGGACCCACTGCAGCCACTGCTGCCTGCGAGCAGCTGTCATCCTACGGACGCTTAACTCATCTCTGCAGCCTCGGACCCTGCACCAGTCACCCTTGCGCCCTCAGCCTCCGCTCATTCTCTCAGGTATTCTGCTTCCCAGCCAGACATAACGCTATCTACCTCTGCTGGACAGCTCTCAGCCTTTCTTGGTCTCTGAGTGAAAAGGCCGCTGGTGCCCCCAGAATAGCCAGACTTATTTCAGAAGCCTCCAACAGAGGTATGAGATGCTTTAATGACATCGGAGGCATTAGCCTGGCCATCTTTGGGATATAATGGATGAGAACAGCTGCTGCTTGCTATATGTTGTTGAGGACCGGCTGTATAAAGTGGAGTGAGCCTTCGGAGCCTAGTATTTGGCCAAGACTAAGGTGACTCGAGAACAGGGATGGGGGTGCTTTGCAAGAAGCTGCCTGGTTTGAATAGGCGACTGCCCAGTCCTGCTTTGAGAAAGCAGAGAGATTGGGAAGGCCTTTACTCTGGATTTACAAGCGCTTTAATCCAGTTCTTACACAAGGATCCACCAGATGGCGCTGTGCGCAGGGGCGTCTCCCGGTTTCCTAAAGAAAGACTGCGGGCAGGGGTGGTGGCTCACGCCTGTAATCCCAGCACTTTGGGACGGCAAGGTAGGCAGCACCTGAGGTCGGGAAATCGAGACCAGCCTGACTAACATGGTGAAACCCCATCTCTACTAAAATACAAAAAAAAAAAATAGCCGTACGTGGTGGCGGGCGTCTGTAGTGCCAGCTACTTGGGACGCGGAGGCAGGAAAATCGCTTGAGCCCGGGAGACAGAGGTTGCAGTGAGCCGAGATCGCACCATTGCACTCCAGCCTGGGCAAGGAAGGCAGGGAAAGGAGGGACGGGGAGAGACGGAGGTAGGGCGCGCAGGTCGGGTTGTCTACAAGACTGCCTGCACAACGTGTACAAAGCCTACATGTTGCTGGAGAAAGCCACTCCAGATTAGCTTGGACGTCAGCCAGCACAAGTTCCAAGGTGTTTTGCAGATGGATAATCAGAATCCCTTGGCATTACCAGGCAGGGTACATCCTCTGCTCCCAGAACCAGACTGGCCTGCCACCAAGACTCATATGGAGAGCGCTTCGGACATTTTGCCAGAACCCTTAAAGGGAAAGAATGTCATGAAATCACCAAAGAAACAGTTCCTCAGTGTCATTCAAGTAGCTGAAATAGTAGAGCAGTCCTGGGGGAACCAGGCAGCCATAGATCTAGCCAGAAAATTGGTAAAGATCTCCGTGGTCTAGACAGAAATTCTGTAAACCACCCCAAGGCTCAAGCCTGGACCTTGCCTGAGATCCCATTGCCTGTTTCACTTCTCCTTGTTACTGAGAAAGGGAGATGGAACCTTCTGGTGACATTATCCTCACTGAAAATTAAGAAGGGAAAGCAATAGGAAACCACGTATGGGTTTCATTACCGGTGTAACGAAACTCTTCAGGATGTGACTTTAGACCCAGGGACAAAACTTGGAGGTTGCTTATCTAATTTCTGTTGAACTCAGGCCTGGTACAGGAGAGAGATGCTCTTGGCAGGGCCCTGGAGTCCTCTGGTTGGCTCTCTCAGGAAGAAAGCAGGTCAGGGATTGGACCACATAAACTGACCTGGAAACCAGCGGTTTCAGCTTTTCTCTATGGCAAGTAGAGGAGAGTGCTGGTTAAGCTATTAGACTAAATGTCACATGCATGAAGCAGGCTGCAGGATGTACTGGGCCCCTTTTGGGCAATTATACAAGTATTTAACAACTGGTTTTCTTGAAGAGTCTGTGATTTTGTGCACAGTGATATTACATAGCACCACTCCTAAGAAATATGATGAAGCAGCCATATGTAGTATTAAAAATCCATTTTATTATTCTGCCCTGAAATATAGACATTCTCTTTTAATGTCAGTGGAGGAATTAACTGAAACTGTTTTTCACCCTAGGGGACATGGAAACATTTCAGAAATAGGCCTTCTCATTTCCTTTTAGTAGCTACGTGGTGAAAATGTTCCTGTAAAGGGTAGTGCCTTGCAAAGTGGCAGACCTGCTCTGGATCCAGCCTATCTTTCCAAAATTACATGTGGAGCCCATTGGAAATGTTTTTATAGATCTGAAAATAATTGACTATATCTCCCATATCCTACTTTTAAAAAATTTTTTAGAGATGAAGTCTTTGTGACTCATGCTGGAGCACCATGCTGCAATCACAGTTCACTACCACCTCCAACTGCTGAGCTCAAGGGTTCCTCCCACCTTGGCCTCCTGAGTAGCTGGAACTATATGCATGCATCACCACACATGGCTAATTTGAAAACAAAAAATTAAGAGACAGAATCTTGCCATCTTGCCTGGGCTGACTTGAACTCCCAGGCTGAAGCAATCCTCCCACCTCAGCCTCCCAAAGTGCTGCAGTTACAGGCATGAGCCACTGCACTTGGCGTATCCCACTTAAAAAAAACTTTTTAAACAAAGATAGCAAAAGTCACCTTTGTACTAGAAAAAAAGAATTGAGCAGATCTTAAAATGAGGAACATAACTACAGTTACATGTCTCCTTGGATAAACATTTATTTATTTATTTATTTATTTAGAGATGGAGTTTCACTGTTGTTACCCAGACTGGAGTGCAATGGCACGATCTCGGCTCACCGCAACCTCCGCCTCCTGGGTTCAGGCGATTCTCCTGCCTCAGCCTCCCAAGTAGCTGGGACTACAGGCGCGCATCGCCATGCCCAGCTAATTTTTGTATTCTTAGTAGAGACAGGGTTTTCGCCTTGTTGACCAGGATGGTCTCGATCTCTTGACCTCGTGATCCACCCGCCTCGGCCTCCCAAAGTGCTGGGATTATAGGCACGAGCCACCATGCCCGGCCAACTTTATTTACAAGTAAAATTAAGTGAAAATTCAATTTATTTTACTTGTAAATAAATGGTTAGAAGAATAACATCTACAAAGAGTACCAAGTATTGTGAGATTTATGAAATAGTCTGCACTATTCAAATCCCTTTTATTCACTTTATTTTACCTGTAAATAAATTATAGAATAACTTCTACAAGTAGTACCAAGTCTCATGAGATTTATGAAATAGTCTGCACTATTTATATCACTTTCTTTTGCAACGTGTACAATACAGGTAAATTCATATATGTTAAGTGTGTGTATGATGTAACTGAACTATATGTCTTTCCCCATCACCAAACCTATGTTTCCTGCTTCAT